GATTATGATTTTAGTGGGTAGTTATTAATTAGGCTTTAAATTGTAATGTTTTTTATGTTAAGAAATGCAACAGTGAGTAAAGTTTTCTTTGCTTCAAAAATAATAACATTTGGTATCAGAGCTTTCTTCTTAAGGGATCTGTGTGTGAAATTGACGCGTCATGAAAGCTGAAGCCAGTTTCTTCCGCAATTGCTCCGGCTGTGTTCGACAGAGACAACTACCAGATTTGGGCAGTACGTATGGAGACATACTTGAAAGCTTTAGATCTTTGGGAAACAGTGGAAGAAGACTATGAAATTTCTGCACTTCCAAACAATCCCACCATGGCACAGATTAAAGCACAGAAAGAAAAGAAGACAAAGAAATCAAAGGCAAAAGCCTGCTTGTTTGCTGCAGTCTCATCCATCATCTTCACTCGTATCATGTCTCTGAAGTCAGCAAAAGAGATATGGATTATCTCAAGAATGAATATGAAGGAGATGAAAGAATTAAAGGGATGCAAATCCTTAACTTGATTAAGGAATTTGAACTTCAAAGAATGAAGGACTCCGAGACGATTAAAGATTACTCCGATAAGCTTCTGAGTATCGTAAACAAAGTAAGGCTTCTTGGATCTGAATTTACTGACTCAAGAATTGTAGAAAAAATTCTTGTTACAGTACCTGAAAGATATGAAGCAACCATCACTGCATTGGAGAATACAAAGGATCTGTCAAAAATTTTCTTAACAGAATTGCTTAACGCTTTGCAAGCATAAGAACAAAGAAGACTGATGAGGGAAGATACAACAATTGAAGGAGCTTTGGCAGTCAAGCATCAAAATGTGGCCAAAAGCAAAAGAAAGAAGAAAAAAGATTTTGAAAGAAATGGGGTAAGTACTGCATCAGCCAATGCAAAAAGAAAGAATGAAAATCAGAAGAAATCCTATTCACCTTGCCAACATTGTGGAAAGAAGGGTCATCCTCCATTTAGATGCTGGAAAAGACCTGATGCTAAATGCACTAAATGTAATCAGATGGGGCATGAAGCTGTTATCTGTAAAAATAAAATTTTGTAACATGGTGAAGATGCAAAGATTGCTGATCAAGAGGAGGAAGATCACCTGTTCGTAGCTACATATTTCTCCGACATCGAATCAAGTGAGAGTTGACTTATAGATAATGGTTGTACTAACCACATGACACATGACAAAGATCTATTCAAGGAACTAAGCAACGCAAACTCATCGAAAGTTCGAGTTGGTAATGGCAAGTACATAACTGTGAAGAGAAAAGGAACAGTTGCAATTTCAACTTGTTCAGGTACAAAGTTCATTTTTGATGTATTATATGTCCCTGAAATTGATCAAAACTTGTTAAGTGTTGGACAACTAATTGAAAAGGGTTATAAAGTTGTGTTCGAAGATAAAAGTTGCTTGATTAAAGATGCAGTTGGCCAAGATATTTTCAAAGTAAAAATGAAAGGGAAAAGCTTTGCTCTAAATCTATTGGAAGAGGAGCAAACTACTTTTTCAATAAAAAAAAATATCACTGAAGTATGGCACAAGAGGCTTGGGCACTATCATCATCAGGGGCTGCTGCAGATGAAATCTAAAAAGATGGTAAATGATTTTCCAGAACTTGATGATCATATTCCAAACTGCAAAGCATGTCAGTTTGGAAAGCAAAGTAGGAAACCATTTCCCAAGGCAACATGGAGAGCATCAAACAAGTTACAATTAATTCATACTGACATTGCAGGCCCACAAAGAACACATTCTCTGAAAGGTAGTCTTTATTATATTGCATTCATTGATAATTTCACCCGTATGTGTTGGATCTTCTTTTTAAAGTACAAGTCAGAGGTGGCTCAAGTCTTCTGAAACTTTAAATCCAGAGTTGAGAACGAGAGTGGCTGTAGAATTCAAACTCTCAGATCAGACAATGGCAAATAGTACACTTTTGAAGCATTCACTCATTTTTGTGAAAAGACAGGCATCCAACATCAATTAATCACTCCATACACTCCACAACAAAATGGAGTAAGTGAGAGACGAAATAGATTCATATTGGAGATGACATAATGTATGCTACATGAGAAGAACCTGCCAAAGCAATTTTGGGTTGAAGTAGCAAATACTGCTATTTTTTTGCAAAACAGGCTTCCCATAAGAGCAGTGAAGGATCAAACACCCTTTGAGGCATGGTATGGTTATAAACCATCTCTGAATTTCCTTAAAATATTTGGATGTTTGTGCTTCACTTATGTTTCACAGACCAAGAAAGATAAGTTAGATAAAAGAGCACTTCTAGGCATCTTCATTGGCTACAGCTCAGTTGCAAAAGCTTATAAAGTTTTTCAGCCACAAACTGGAAAAATTATTATAAGTAGGGATGTACACTTTATGGAAGATGAAGAGTGGAACTGGGATGATGTAAAAAAGATGAATTCAACCTTAAAAGAGCACAAGCTCAAGTTTCCTAGCATTGGAGTATGGAAGAATGAAATGGTGGATGACAGTCCTATCAGAGGTACAAGACTACTTTTTGATGTTTATCAAAGATGCAATATTACTGTGTGTGAACCTACAAATTATGAAGAGGCCAAGACGGATCAAAATTGGATTGTTGCAATGAAGGAGGAGCTATTCATGATTGAAAGGAATGAAACATGGGAGTTGGTTGATCGACCCCAAAACAAAAAAGTAATTGGAGTCAAATGGGTGTACAGAACCAAGCTTAATGCTGATGGCTCAATTAACAAGTATAAAGCTAGACTCGTGGTCAAAAGATATGCTCAAATACTCGGTGTGGACTACTCAGATACCTTCGCACCAGTTGTTAGACTCGACACTATCAGGCTCTTACTCGTCGTTGCAGCACAAAAGAATTGGAAAGTGCACCAATTAGATGTCAAGTCAGCATTCTTGAATGATTTTTTGCAGGAGGAGATTTATGTAAAACAACCAGAAGGCTATGTCAAGGAAAGAGAAGAAGATAAAGTTTATCTTCTTAAAAAGGTACTTTACGGATTGAAGCAAGCTCCAAGAGCCTGGTACAGCAGGATTGATGAACATTTACAGAACTTGGGATTTGTCAAAAGCTTATCTGAATCAACATTATATGTCAAGCACAATGGAGCTGACATTCTTATCATCTCACTATATGTGGATGACTTACTTGTGACAGGAAACAACATAAGTATTGTGAAGAAGTTTAAGCAAGAGATGATGGAGTTTTTTGAAATGACAGATCTTGGATTAATGACCTTTTTTCTTGGAATGGAAATCAAACAGAATGAACATGAAGTCTTCATTTGTTAAAAGAAATATGTCAAGGAGATTCTGAAGAAGTTTAAACTCGAAGAATGTAAAGAAATGAAGACACCAATAAACTTAAAGGAAAAGCTCTGTAAAAAAGATGAAACATAGAAGATTGGTCAGGCATATTTCAGAAGCCTGATTGGTTGCTTAATGTTTCTCACAGCAACTCGGCCTGACATTTTGAATGCTATAAGCATTTTGTCTCGGTTTATGCATTGTGCAAGTGAATGGCATCTCAAGGCTGCAAAGAGGGTGCTTAGATATGTGAAAGGCACAAGTGATTTTGGCATTAAATACATAAAGAGCAAAGAGTTCAAGCTGATTGATTTCTTAGATAGTGATTGGAGAGGTTCCATTGATGATATGAAGAGCATTTCAGGCTACTGTTTCATACTTGGTTCTGGTGTTTTCTCATGGAGCTCGAAAAAACAAGAAATTGTAGCTCAATCCACAGCTGAAGCAGAGTTTATTGCTGCAACAGCTGCTGTTAATCAAGCTTTGTGGCTAAGGAAGATTTTAATCGATCTTAACTTAGAGCAGGAGGAAAGCACGAAGATTCTTGTTGACAATCAAGCTACCATTGCTATCTCTCAAAATCCTGTGTTTCACGAGAAAACTAAATATTTTAATATTAAATTATTCTTCTTAAGGGAAGTACAAAAAGATGGAGCTGTTGTTCTTGTCTACTGCAAAACAGAAGATCAGGTTGCAGATGTTTTCACCAAGCCACTGCCAGTTAGCAAGTTTGAATTTATGAGGACAAAACTTGGTGTTTGCAGCTCCTAAAGCAAGGAGGAGTGTTAGAAGATGTGTTTAGGACTGCTAATGTGGATTCATTGAATGTTTCATGTTGTTCCTGTTTTTCTGGTGTTGGTTATTTTTTTTGTTATTCATGCTGGTGGTCACGGCTTAATCTTAGGATTATGATTTTAGTGGGTAGTTATTAATTAGGCTTTAAATCGTAATGTTTCTGATGTTAAGAAATGTAACAGTGAGTAAAGTTTTCTTTGCTTCAAAAATAACAACAGAAACAAGCAACTCCCCCATAAAAAGCTTTTTTAATTAGATTATTGTCAGAAATATTACACAAGAACAGATTTCGAAACTCATATTGTAAATTATAACACTTGATAATAGTAGCATTCAAGCAAAGAAACCCCTTATTTTAAGCATCTTAAAAAGGTTTAGCACATGCATCCAAAAAAAAGGCATGCCTTTCATAATAGCTTAGCTGCTGAAACTGGTTTCTTCTAAAGAGCAGCTGTTTCATTGATTAGCAAAGTACTATATGTAAATAGTGCTCGCCACTATAGTCAGCGTTAAGTTTCAAGACATGATAATATTCCTTGGAAGCTCCTACTTCACATGAACTGAAACATGGGTTCCTCTTTGTTTTGCTTGAATCAGATAAACAAAACTTTGATACCATATAAAACATATTATAATATTTGGCATGGACACTTCAACTAGCTTCAAAGGGGATTTTGTTTGCCGAATTACCTTGTAACTAATTATCTATTCGAAGAGCGCCGCTTGCCTTCCATTTCTGCTTCAACTAATACCCAGGCAAAAAAAAACTTTTGTTTTCTTTCGTCTTTGATCATAATTCATGGAGATGGTGGTGGCCTGGTGGAGATGAATAAGGATCACGCGCACTCCACGTTCAAAATACTACTCACATTGTTCTATTCATGCAACATCTGTTTATACATAGCCTAATTTCAACCATAAATTAACCAGGGTTTTCCATCTATAAATACTACCCTCTTTCATTAGATGCAAGTCATCTCAGAACACAAATAATAAACTGTTTCCAATGGCATCATCTTACTCTACCACCACCATTCTTTTACTCCTACTCATTGCGTTCCTCAGTTTCAATCAAACCCAAGCTGGGAATAGAAACCCTAATTCAGTTGTTCTTGGTCTAACACGTTCTAGCACTTCCTTTCCTATACCTAAACCCCCCAAATACTCAAGAAAGAGACTTTCAGAAGTATCAGATATGATTGAGCCATTGAGGGCAGTAACAGATGGATATTTGATAACTCTAAATATAGGAACACCTGGACAGGTCATTCAAGTATACATGGATACTGGGAGTGACCTGACTTGGGTTCCTTGTGGTAATGTATCCTTTGATTGCCTGGATTGTGATGACTATAGGAACAATAAGTTAATAGGTACTTTCTCCCCTACGCATTCTTCTTCAGCTATTAGAGACTCATGCGGTAGCTCTTTTTGTATTGATATCCATAGCTCTGATAACTCTTTTGATACATGCATTGAGGCTGGATGTTCATTAAGTACCCTTCTCAAAGCCACCTGTTCTAGGCCCTGTCCGTCCTTTGCCTATAGCTACGGTGAAGGAGGACTAGTCGCAGGGATACTAACCAGGGATAACCTTAGGGTTCATGGTAGTAGCCCCGAAATCTCTAAGGACATTCCCAGATTTTCTTTTGGTTGTGTCGGCTCTACTTATCGAGAGCCTGTTGGCATTGCAGGGTTTGGTAGGGGTGTACTTTCTCTACCTTCACAGTTAGGGTTCCTCCAAAATGGCTTTTCTCACTGCTTCTTGGCCTTCAAGTATGCCAACAATCCGAATATTTCAAGCCCATTATTCATGGGAGATGTTGCCATATCTTCCAATGACAATTTGCAGTTCACCCCAATGTTGAGAAGTCCCATGTTCCCCAACTACTACTACATTGGTTTAGAGGCCGTAACTGTAGGCAATATTAGTTCTGCTGAAGTTCCTTTAAACTTGAGGGAGTTTGATTCACAAGGTAATGGGGGAATGTTGATTGATTCAGGTACCACTTACACTCACCTCCCTGAGCCATTCTATTCACAACTTCTCTCAATACTCCAATCAGAGATAACCTATCCTCGAGCCACAGATGTTGAGACGCAAACAGGATTTGATCTCTGTTATAAAGTTCCCTGTCCAAATAACAGATTCACAGATGATCCTTTCCCTTCAATCACTTTTCATTTCTTGAACAATATCAGTCTCGTTCTGCCCCAAGTTAATTACTTCTATGCCATGAGCGCTCCAAGTAACTCAACTGGGGTGAAATGCCTATTGTTCCAAAGCATGGATGATAGTAATTATGGACCAGCCGGGGTATTCGGGAACTTCCAACAGCAAAATGTGAAAGTTGTCTACGACTTGGAGAAAGAGAGAATTGGGTTTCAACCAATGGACTGTGCAGCAGCCGCAGCCTCTCAGGGACTTCACAAGAACTGATTTCGTGGGTAGTTAATGGTAGTTCTTGCTGTTAGCCAATGGTGCAGCTCTTGGCCCACAAAATAATGAGGCACGACAGTTTCTAGATTTTAATAATGTGTTGTAACTGCTGTCTTCTTTCTTTTTTTTTTTTTTTTTTAATGTAGTTTGCACTTGATAAGTGTACAAACTAGATTTTGTTGCTGTAAGGTTTTGGATTTATTAAGAAAAATAAGCTGCACTTATTATTAAGAAATTGGGTTCCACTTAGAACTCCATACAGTTGAGAACAGAAGCATAAGCTTCTGTATAGATTTCCTTTAACCCAAGTTCAGGCTTCAAAGTTATCTGCCGCAGGAAGAACAGATACACCCATGTTGGAACTGGTTGATTGGTATTCTTTTGCATCTTCCATAAAGTACTAGGTTTAAATGAAGCTTTAAAATATTCAATTCAGGAAAATGAAGCCCCACCCGTTTAAAGCCTAATTGCAAAATTTTATACTACTGCTTGAATGTGAAGAAATAGGAAAAGTTCCCAAGTCCTTACGACGAGACCACACAAACTACTATTGAGTTTTACAAGCTACCAGCTGCAGATGGAATAGGAAATGGCATATTTATTTGAACATGCAGGTTGTACAATGGAAGTGAAACATTACATTACCACACTTTAATTACAAGAAAAACCAATCTCCAACCCAATGAACGGTTGATATCAATGCGTGTAGAAAACATGCATGTACAGTTCAGAATGAATAGTACAAACAAGGTATGTAAGGAAAGATAAAATTTCGATTGCAGAGTGCATTACAAGAGCTACTTAGAAGATACAGACAGGGAAACAACAATTGACGCCTAAGAGCAACAAGATGCATTAGCTGTCCGCTCTGCAGGTCTATCCACGAGAACCATTCCAGCAGAATTTTGTGCTGGCTGCACTCGAGGTAATCTTTTAGCTGTACGAAATAAAAATCAGTCAATTGCCAATTAATAAAACAATTACTGCATGCTTTTGGGAAACTTAACAAAATAACAAATAAAATACCTATTTCATAGAAAATGTCATTGACATTGGATGCAGTCTTTGCAGAAGTTTCCATGAAGAAAAGACCATTCTCCTGAGCATAAGTTTGTGCTTCCTGCATCATCAAGGAGAATAAGAAGTCAAATTGACATTCGCATGTAGGTTGAAGTCAAAACAAAATTGAACCACGAATCTATTTGACTGGTTGACATTTTACCATCAAGAGAGAAAGGGTTGTTTTGAAACGTCAAAAAATTGTAAGTAGCCAAATCCTGGCAATCATTTTACCTCAGAATGCTCAAAATTACTGGTTTCTGGTAACATTATAATGTTTAAATTTGAAGGCAAAATAGATATGAAGTCAAAACGGATAACTTGCCTCTGCTGCAACCTTCCTTGCATCTAGAACATCAGCTTTGTTCCCAGCAAGTGCCATTACCATATTAGGATTGCCTTCAGAGGGGAAGGAAAAGAAGAAATCAACAACATAAACTTAGAATTCAATTACTCATGGTCCTTAAATAAACATGTCATAAGAATAAAAATAAGAAAAAACAAACTAGATATATGACGATCAAAAAGGATGTTGTCAAGGAATAGAAAAGGCAAAATACTACCTTGTGCTTGAAGTTCTTGGACCCATTTTTTGGCTCTCTCAAATGATGCCTACAAAATAAAAAGAGAGAACACCAATCTTAACAAATTTACACCCATCCCAAGAGAATCTTAGTTTTCCTTCAAATGACAACCTTCAGATTTTTAACATCCCTTTAAACCAAATCATAACATGTATTAACATGATTTTGAAGAAGATACCAGTAAGCAGTAGTCTTGATTGAGGCATCAACAGGACAAAAACTCAAAAGAAAGTAATGTATAGGCTCTATTTGGTTAGTGCTTTTTGCTTTTCCTTTTAATAGAAACTGAAAAACAATAAAAAAAAAAAAAGAACTAAAAACAAAGGGCAAATAATAAAAGATAAAAAATAAAAGCACCAACCAAATGGAACCGAAGGGAATTTAAGTAACTATGTATGACCTAGATTATGTGCTCCCAAAGTTTTAATGCTTCATCTCCCGCAGTCACATATTGAGCAATAGGCCGCTTAGTGGTTAGATGACCAAACCACGTAGAGAAGACATTAGTTAGCCATCATGAACTTACTTGATTTGTTATATCATACACAATGATCGCAGCTGCAGCTCCTCTGTAGTACATTGGTGCCAAGCTATGGTACCTCTCTTGACCAGCTGTATCCCAAATTTCAAACTTTACAGTCGCATCATTCACAGCCAATGTCTGGGAGAAAAAAGCTGCACCTATGGTTGATTCCTACATCATTATAAGATAAATGTCAAGCTACATATTCCTAACTGAATTTTTTAATCAATAATGTTCTAATAAAAACCAATAACACCAACCTGAAATTCAACAAATTGCCCTTTAACAAAGCGTAACACAAGACTAGACTTTCCAGCTCCAACATCCCCAAGTAGAACCTGAAGAATAAAATACACATTAACAACTAATACATGTAACAAAAACATCAGTTCAAAGTTCAAACCAAAGACAAAACTTAACTTTCTGGTATAAATACAATAATTAGGCACTCAAATTCTAGAAATATTTGGAAACATCATCGCAAATGAAAACAGAAATATTTGAACATATTAATAATATTTGAAACTAATGAAATGAAGTAGCTGATATGATATCAACATAATATCCACAATCTGAACAAAAAAAAATTCCCAAAGAAATTATGCATAACCCTTAAGCATATTCTCGTAAGTCAGACAGAGTCAAAATTTTAAAAAAACCTCTAGATTTAGAAATGATAAAGCAGAGAGAAAAATGCAGAATTCAGACGATATTTACTAAGATTTAGTACTTGCGAAACTTAACTGACCTAAACAGCAGCATAGAAAGATATCAAAAGGGAAAAAAAAAAAAAAAAAAGAACCTCCAGGATCAAAGCAAAACCCACACCGGATTTGATCGGCTCTAAAACAAACCAACAAAATCCAAACAATATTTTGCAAAAATAAGCCAAACCCATATCAAAATACATATTAAAATCATGCATGATCAACAATTCATCAAGACCCAGATCAGAATTCAGAATCTAAAGCAGACCCAAAGCACAAATACTAGTAATAACAAAAATAAAACTTAGGAACAAGAGGAGGGTTTAAGATCAAAAGAGATAGAGAGAAACTGACTAATTTAGCATTGATGTTCTTGTTTCCAGTGGTGGCCATGAGATCCTCTGTGATCAGATTTATGTTCCAAATAAAAACAGATGAAGAAAAATTATGCAGTAATAAAAAAAAATTGATAGTTGGAGCTTGTTGGAGGCGTTGACGAAGAAGAAAAGGGAAGAGAGAACAGGGATGTAAAAGCCAAAGGCTAAAGGCAAAGGGAAGGATCCTCCTCAACCTTCAAACCAAACCAAACTCTCTTGATTTCTTTCTCTTACAAATGACTTACAAACAGTGACAAACACGAAAGCTACCGCTATTTTGGTTTTCTTTCTTGCTAAAATACTAGAGAAAAAAAGTCTATATTTTCATATTTTTCTTAAATAAACCCGTGTACTTTTGATTATATTCAAGCAAACCCTTATTCTTCGAAATATAAATTCTTGTCGCATTGGATCCATTATTGAATGACTCTTAACAAGCTTCGGCTTTGTGAATCCAATTTGGGTGTATGTCTCTGGTTTGGGATTTACATCTAATCACAAAGAAACCCAATCAAGTTTCAAGGACCATAATCCATGAGGAATGGGGCATTTAAGCCCTACAAAGAACAGCACCTGACACAGAGAAAGAAGGGTTCACCACACTCGGAGTAAACAGTGATCTACATTGCCAATTTGCCATAGGCCAAGAAAATGTAGGATTATTAATCCTGAAAGCCAAAATGGTTTCTCAACTTTTCTATATAAACCAGGCTACTAAAATAAACTGAGGAGATAGCCCATGGGACCTCAATCTGGTCCTGTTTTTTAACTCCGTAATAATGTGCAGAACATCAAGTTCTGAATTCAACCTTTCACGAATTTCCCAGACTTGTTTCCCCAATAATAGAACAAATCGTAACAGAATACTGTGCCAACTTCCAACTAGAGAATTGGTTTATATTTTGTTATAACCTCTCATTATGTAAATTTGGTGAAGAAATCAAAGTTTTGAGATACGAGAATAATGAATGAGCTGTTGATGATTTTAACAATGATCATTTGTCAAATTTTCATGCAAAATTGATCTCAAGTTCTGAAATTCTGCACCAAAGCTTCTCAATGCTCCTCAATTTGCATGACAAACACCTTTGAATCCCATTTCAAGGTGCTTGGAAATAATGCAAGACACTGCTTCAACCTGATTGCATCGGACCAAGTGTCTAATCTCTAGGGTCTAAAGACAAGACTTCTGACATTTTCTTAGGACAAGAATTCTGTTTAAGAACATTCTCCAACCTGGAGAGGTAAGCTATTGAGCAATGGCACCATGGCTAGAAATGTTCATGTTCTTGAGGATTCTTATTCCTTTTTTTTTTTCGTCTTTTTTCTTAGTATGCTCGTCAGATTAGAACAAAAGCATTTTTGGACCAACAAGAAGCAATCAGATTTGGGCTTTTTTTTTTTTTTACCTGGAGTCTCAGCACAAAAATGGCTTTAGTAGTTATAGTTGTTTATCCTTTATTGATGATAAGGGCAATCTTGAAAGGGCATGGTCCTCCATTTCGAATTCATGAAGAGCATCAATGGGGTCCTCCATGACAATCAGTTGCATTGAAATTCTCAAGTACAAGAACCCTTTTTTATATCTAAAATATGAACATTTCAACATTTAACTACAACCAATGTATACTGTGTTAACAACTGTTACCCAGTCTGATGGAGTTAGCGAAGTTGGCAAGCAAATTGAATGGTACTATCCTTATCCATATTGTTATCTTCGCCTTTGAATTCTGAAATTATTTGATATTTAAGTTAGAAATAACTTTAGTACTGAGAATTAGAATCTACTAATTGAATGAGATTTCTTGCACGAAGAAGAAGATAAATACTTGAAAATAATAATGAACTAATATGTAGCAGAACATTTTATTAATTTCCTCCAAAAAAAAAAAAAGAGAAAAGGAGATTAAACACAGTGGGATGGAAGGGTCATTGTCTTTTTGTGATAGGGAGGGGGTGGGGAACGTGAAGCTGCAGTAACATTTCTACCAAAAGAACAAAAAATGTGAAACAGTGAAAGTGTAGCAAATGGCCAAAATAGAGGGGAGGTACATAGTAATTTGACTGATGATAACACAGAAAAAATGATGGAAAAGTTGAAAATGCCGATTATTTCCTGGCGTTCATCATAACACTCTATAAAGGAAAAAGGCAAACTTTGGTACACACACCCTTCTGTCATAAAATTACAATCAAGCCACATCTTCCTTCCTTTCTCTCTCGCTTTGAATTCTCGGTGGAAAATAAAGAGAAAGAAAGAAAGGCTCAACTTTTGCCACGGGCCACAGCCTTGTCAAGAGAATACAAGACTACCTCCAATAATAGAACCTAGAATGGCATTTCTGTAATTTTATTCAACTGGCATGACATCCCTCAGGATTCAGAGATCCATTGACTGGTCGCCTTTGACCAGTCCCAGAGAAGTACTGCTCGCTGCCCAGTTGCTGCAACGTTTCTCTCACATTTCTTCCTCATAAATGATAAGATGAGCAGCTTCCCTATTCCACTTCCCTACCATGGCATGTGTGATTCACACTCCAACACTGTATCAGAATTATGAACATGGGAAAGAAAGGGTTGCTTGGGTTTGTTCTGTAAACAAGGGAGAGTTGGGTTGATATTCCCATATCTGTCATAAATAGGAATCTCCCTGTGCATTTTTTTCAAAGATGGTTTAACTTACACTCTTACACTGCCAAGTCTGTACCAAATTAAGCCAACTTAATAAAAGTTTTAGAGTTTTGTATGACAATCTAGGTGTCAAGCACTTATGAAGTGACCTACCACTTTTAATATCAAGGACATTCATAATCAAGTTCAATGAATTGAAGGATTTGGATGGAGAAGATATCATTTTCTCAATCGTTCAATGTTTAAATCACTTTAAAATACAGCAAGAGCTGTAATTATCAACATGTAAAGTTTACATCATCTGATCAACAAGAGAACTCTGAAGAGGAGTGCATAATCAACATTCAAGCCATATATACAGTATACTTTCCTTGAAGATAAACCCAAACGCACAACAATTTGCATATACTTCACTTTTGGTAGTGTTACAACCAACCCTACTTTGTGTTTAAACACAAAATGAGTGTTTAAACACTTCACATGAAAGAGATAGAGTTTTAATTAAGACATAATTAGAATGACCAATGGAAGTAAATACAACATAAAATATAGATCACAAATGGGATTACCAATTACTATATGCAACTACCAATGTGATTAATTAATCTCTCCCTGTCTTAGATATATTATTGGATAGTTTACACTTTTTCATCAATAGGAGAATCACTTTGGAGCTGACTGGTTCTTGTGGGAAGCTAAAGCAAGGATAGAATTAGCAAGCTTGTTAATGGCATCAACCAGGCCATCAATGCCAATTTTATAGATCTCTGTCTTAGATTCCTCAATCTTTAGTCTTCTCTCAAGTAAACTAACAAGATCTCTATGTCTTCTCTCCTCTCTTTCCTCACTAGACTGGATGGCTTCTGCTATAATGGAAGCACTTTTAGAGATTGCTGTGCCCACTTCGTTTGAGTTGTTTGCACTAGCGGTGCCACTGGTGCCTTCACCATTACCTCCTGATCTTCTCCTTCTCTTTGATGCTGAGTCTGAATACTCACTCGTATCAGAATCTGAGCTATCACACATCTCCAAAACATAAAAATATGGAACCAATAAAATCAATCAATACTAACTGAATTCATGACACATGAAAACTATCAAGATGAAATCAGCCAAAGTCTCTCACCCCTTCTCAGAAAATGAAGCACAAAAATAATGCTATTAAAAGGCACATTTAATTAGTGCATCATTATGCACGGTAGTCTCTAACATGGCATGCCAAAATCATTGAAAGTGGTACAATGCAAAAGAGAAAAAAATGCAAACCCCTCAAGATTAGTATGTAGCAAATTGCAAGCAACCCATTATAAGGGCAATGTAAAACGTTGCAGAATTTTATGATAAATAATGCAAAAATGCAATGTGAGCAAGGCAAGAGAGAGAGAGAGAGAGAGAGAGAGAGAGAGGAGTACCTACTGTGGGCAATGGCTGAGCATATGAAAGGGGAGGTGCTTGTACAAGTGGGGCAGGAGCAGCTGCTGATGGCGGCAGATGTGGCGGGGCTGCTAGAGGTAATGGAATTGCTGCTGGAATAAGAGGTGGAAGTTGATGTTGCAATAGAGGAGGCAATGAAGGTTGCACACTAGTAACTGGTCTATCCATAACATATGGCATGTTGAGAATGAGACCTGACCCACCAGCAGCCACCACCCTTTGACCTCCTTTCTTCTCCACCACCTCCTCCAAACGCTCATATATCTGGGGCAACATGTTACTCGGCAAGTTCTTTTGTTTTCTTTCATTCTTCTCCATCTCCCAATAAGATACTTCGTTACTATTATTCCCTTCTCCTCTCTCAGCTATTCTCCTTTGGTACTCTCTCACCTTCTTGTAGTCCCTCATGAGATTATCCCACTTGTCATTGCACTGGTTTTGGCTCCTCATACACCTTTTTCCCCAACAATATTCTTCCACCCATTTCCATCTCAGCTCTGTTGGTTTGCCCCTCCCTTCACTGTCCCCACTTTTCTTCATTCTTCTCTCATCATCCATCTTCTTTGCCTCAATCAACACCATTGTTTCATTAACAGTTCAGTTCCCTTTCTTGTATTCCCTCATCACAATATTGTTACCACCTTGATCAGCCATCACCAAATGCATGCAACAACCTAAAAAAACATAGGGAGACCGGAGAAGGGAGAAGTTGGAGCTATCTATCGCTCGGAAAAAGGGAGCAAGATTAACTCTTTTTACAAGAAAAACCTGAAAAGAATGAAAATTGGGCCAAGGGGGTCTAATACTGAATACTCTGTCTTTTGCTCTCTTTTTGGACGCCTGATTTGATGTTGGGTAACAAAGTAGTCAAATATCACAAAGATTGCCAATTGAGGCAAAGCAATTAACATGGGTTCCACCTAATGAAAAGGATCAGTGACTCAATAGACATCACTCTAAAGACAAAAATAGAAAAAGGTCATGTTGTTTTCATGGTTTTGATGATTTCTGGAAGAGAATTATATGTTTGCTAATATGTAAATGAAAAGTAGAGAAGCAGCAAAGCCAAGTTAATCTGCGCCTTTTTTCACCATCAATAAGATATCTCTTCTTTTGCTCCACTTTAAACCTTCATCTCCTTTTTTGTGTGCTTGTTTCTTGGTTTGCACTCTCGGCTCTACCCTCCCCTTAAATTCATCAAAAAAAATCTTCAAAGTTTAAAGTTGAAATCTAAAACTACTTATTCAAGCCACTGCCTCACCACAAAGTGAGGGAACGAGAGACAGAAAAAAGGTGGAGAGAATGTGTTATCAAGCGTACCATTATAAGAAAAGGCCAACCAAATCCATTCAAACTGACACATCAACAAGCCCCAAAAAATTTCACAAAGGGAGAGAGAAAGAGAGAGTTTTTTTTTTAGAAAGGGCAGATAATTAGGGGTAGAGAAAAAGATATAGTGTTGCCTGCATTAGGAAGAGCGTCGCCATGAAAGACCACACATGTAGCTAAGCCTATAAGCCACCAATTATCACTCCCTAAACAAGATCAGGTTAAGAGATATCTACATTAAAAGACTAAACAACATGGCTAAGTACCCTAATCATTTGGTTAGGCTCCTTGTACAAGTCCCATGCCTCACCATGCGAGAGACAGCGAAGGAAAAAATGGATTATTACATAAAGACCCTTCAAGGGTTTGGACGGCGCGAAGAGTACAGTTTGGTTTTGTCCTTTTGGGGATAACACAGATGTCAATTTCGTCTTTTTGGGAAAGACATTTAAAGCCCTTAGTGCCAGATTGGCAACCTTTTCTGCTTTTGTCTACCAGCCAGCTAGGACCAGCAAAGGGGTACCAAATTTTTGCCAGGGGTCACTTTGGTTAGGGTTTTGACCAAAGAGAGGACGAGCCATGGGGTCATTGAAGGCTCTTGGCTAGTATCTTTCGTTCTAAGTTTTTGGACTCTAGCCTGCACTTGTCCTTTTAGCTGTACAAATACAACTTATGGTAAACCCCCTATTATTATTCATTTGCCTTTGCTTCTCTCTGTTCTGTGCCGATTGTTATTTCAACTTTGATTTTTAATATATAAAGTTTACAGCTCCATCAAAAAACAAAAGTTTTTTAGGACATCCAATTCAAACCAAAGTTTTCACAGCATAGATTGTTGACTGCTACAATGAAATTGTGGCAACATAAAATAATCTGATGACAGTAATGTGACTGTAAAAAAAAAAAAAAAAAGAAAAGGCCACAATGAGAGCAACATCTTGAATGATAAAGAGTAAGGCCATCAAAGCTGTTGTGGGACTCCCTCTAGTATTAAATTTTGGGGACAATGATGAAAATGATAATGAGATAGGAAATATCCACATACACTAGATATCACAGTACTTGAATATTTACAACAGTTGCATTAATAAAGCAACATTTATTGCAAGTGCATGGATTCATACACTTCAAGATTTAATATTGCTTATTTTGGATTTTCAAAAGTTGATTTCCACAAAACAAAATACTAAATGATTTATCAAATTTTCAATCCAAATTGATAGTATTCCTTTTTTTCTTTTGGCCAACAAATGCCTAATTTGGTTAGAAACCTTTTCAATTTAGTATAATTGCTAGATTTTAACCATTGCTAATTTTGTTTTCCCCTTCAATTATTGCATTACAATCTTTTTTTTTTTTTAATGAAAACGTTGTACACTGTCTGAACTTTTGCCCAAGCCTGCAGACGTAGCAATGACAGGTTGGTTCGTGGAGTCAAGCCCCTTCCACTAGCAATTCGCTCACCATATAGCCTTTTTCTTTCCAATTTTGCACATTTTAATGGCCATACTTCTTTGACTTTGAAAACTAATTATGGAACAAAACTTCATAGATAAACCATACCAATGAGTTAATAGGGTTGGGTTGGACGTACTGAGATATAAAGTATCCGCTCTGTGAAGAGACCGATTCTTTCTTTTGCATAGATAGACTTTAAACACTCGATTCTAAAGATATCGAACCAAATAAAGATCAAATTTTTTCACTCTTATTCAATATCCAACCATCCATTCCGATATGCATAGATATATAATATATACACATCTCACCATATCACTGTCCATTACTCGCATCTATATTCTACAGCCACCCATCATTCAACAAGTGTTGTTGCAAAAAGCAAACAATAGGATTAGCAAAATAAAGAAACCAGAAAATTTGAAGAATGAAAGAAAAAGGGTAATACTTTCCACGAGCGTTTATGTGAAGTACAAACACTGGTAGAGGAATATTGTGAGGGACTTAAGTTTTAGTTATATATTTATTTAATTTAACAATCATATGTCCTGTAAGCAGCCATTTGAGAAGCCAAACCCTAAAGAGCACTTAAGTAAAGGGTTCAATGATTGATGTATCAAGAATTTGAGGAATTTGTTTGGAAACATGTAACTTGAAGACGTTTAACTTGATGGGAAATTTAACATGTTCAAGGGAAATCCATCCAAGAGTTGGACCACATAAAAAAAAAAAAAAAAAAAAAAAAAAAAAAAAAAACTTCTGCTTCATTAGGAGTGAAGAAGCTATCGCTTTTTTCTTCCACCCTTTCCAGACTTTGAAGGCCCAGCAGTACTTGATGTGGATGGAGCTTCCTGCTTCTTAGTCCTCCCAGGATGTCTAGGTACCAACTCCGCAACATGGAGCATCAGCTGTTTTCCTGCAATATATCCAAACAAATTATGTAAGTAGGATCTTTCATAGTGGAGATCTCTCTGTTACAATTTAGTCAAATCCATTTTGGCACTATTCTTTTATCCTTTTTAATTAATGAAACCAATAAGACAAAGGAAATAGTTCCCCCTTAATGATCTAATTTGGAGAAATGAAAGATTGAAAGTGCCTTACTTCAAATGAACTTATGCAGCAGCATAGGGGCAGGGGAACAACTATCAAATAACTCACTTATGAACCCAATTTAAACTCCCACACATGTTTCTATGAAAATGTATAGCATTTTTCAAAGAATTCAATGTATTATTCTACAATCCGGCTCTGAAATGGCATAAGGATTATTTTATACTTACTGGAGGAAATGGCTGGATTGCATAAAGTACCATCTTCCTTTTTCAATTGGACCCTCACTCTCCCTCTCTGCATGAAATCACGCGGGTATGCCTTATCAATCTGCAATAGTCAGAAAAATCATCTGTTATATTTATACAACCATGTAGCAAGAACAAGTTTGTTTAACTATTAACAGAGTAACAAATCAACTAAGCACACAGCAAGAGTGAGCGGGGAAGATATTTGGCATTTGTTTTTTGAGTGCCCCAAGTTCTTCTACAAGTCAATAGGCATATTGTTATTTTATGGGATGCAGAAATAATTTAGCTAATAAATTGCTCTAAAGGTAGCAGGTCAATGACATTAAGGTCAACCTTGAACCTTCTTTTCAGGTAAATTGATGGCTGGGATAAAAACGTTTACAAGTTACGAAATGTCGATAATGGTAAGTCTGAAATGTCTAATATAGGCAGATTTCTGAAACTGGGCAGAAGGAATATATAAAGAAACAATGGGTAAGACCCACTACTCTCAGATGGATCCTTGAATTATGAAAGGAGAAGTGCATGAAAAACCCAAAAACCATGCTTGTGGCATCCTTTCCTCAGAGACATAGCCGATTTAAATCCTCAAAGAATGCAATCTATAACGTTGGTGATCGCCCATGGTTAATTTTGAATGCCACTGAGCGAAATGCATATATTTGTTAGAACTGAGAACAATGTTGGTGGCTGTCCTTGGTGAATTTTGAAATCATTGAGGGAAATACTTATAAGTGACTCAAAACCTCACGAATCTAATCAAGCACAAAAAGTTCATATTAGAGGCTTTCTATTTCTGGCCTAGATTCCACAATGAAAAAGGTACACAAAGTGGATCGAAATAATTGACATCACAAATGATACAAAAACAAACCTCAATGGCATTCGCAAGTTTGAGATGGCTGCAGCAATCAGCGATTTCAGCACAAGTGGGATTTTCACATGCTTTGGTCAAGCTGATTCGTCTACCCTCAGCTACCGTTTTCTTCGAATTAATATAAACAGGATAGAAAACTACCCATTTCTTTATGTTGGGGATATCTCCATTCATCTTCTTCTATCCGAATCTAACAACATATCACAGAATTCATCAAGGATGTTACATGCAAAATAGTTCAGAACTAAGCTTTATATGCAGAAATTCTTAATAACCACGTTAATGGCATCACAAAAAAAAAAAGAAAACGAATCTAAACCTGATAACCAGTAACATAGTAAATAAATCAATTACCAAAAAGCTCGTAAAACAAAATCTTATAATTCTACCCTAGGAAATCAGCAATGGTAAACCAGATAAATCCTAACAATAGAATCCCAAAAGGCCCTGCTTTTTCTTAGGAGAAATCTCAATAAACAAGCGAAACCCATTTTTTTAAGACAAAGAATCATTTTGAAATCAAATCTCTAATCAATTTCAATTATATCACAAATCACCTGTAAAAATCAAGGGTTGAAAAAACAAAATTGAATATTGGCAAAACCGTAACCCTAAATAAAATTCAATTCTTTAAAAGGAAAATACAAAATTTTGTCTCGTTGTCCCTCAAATTTATTGATCCAAAATCAAGAGCAATAACCGTTTTTTAGCAAAATCGGAAAGTAACTGTTAAAAGGTTTCTTTCTGAGCTGAGTATCCGATCCTCGTTACGCGTGGCCGGCGGTAGAGTTGGGTGGCGCTTGGAAATTTGAGGTTACTCAAAAGTCTCAACCTGCTAATTTCTGTGGAATAAAAAACTGCTGCATAAAATAAAGTTGATACGACAGCGTTTAGTAGCAAGAACTATAGCAAGTGCATGAATAGGTGCATGCTTTGACTGTTTTGGTTTCAGAATTAACATGCCTTTTTTTCCACTGATAATTAAAATACCATTTATTTAATGGGGCATAATTTTGAAAAAAATAAAAAATAAAAAATAATGTTTGAATTAATATTCGATACATTATCAATATAAATTTTTAATTATATAAATAATATTAAAAATTTGATACATATCTCATTGAAGATGTGTCACCTTATTTTATTTGTGAAATTTAAAAATTTTATTAAAAATATATTTAATAATTTCTCATAATATTTCATAAAATTTCTTTCAATAATTTTTTTGTTAGTAAACCCTAAAATAGGAATACTTCTTTTATCTCATTTTATTTGTTATTGTTTGATTTTTTAATAAATTTAACTTTGATTATTATTTTTTAAAATGTTATATTCAATTAAAATGTAAAAAATATGTTTTGAAATTATTATTTTTAATTTTATAATTGTATTAAGAAAGTTTATCAAAATTGAATTAATTCGACTTCAAAAAAATAATAAAACAATCTTTTTGAAATGAATGAAGTAATAATTAATAATTTAAGTTTAATTGTATTATAACTTTCTCTACATGTTTATTTACATGAATATGAGTTTTTACACATATAAATTAATGTTGAATATAAATTGCATTTAGTTTCATAGAAGCTTTTATTTGCTTTTGCTATTTAAATTAAAGTATAAAGTTTTTTTTTTTTTTTGGGGGGGGGGGAAGGGGGATAAAGTTATTCTAATGAAATTGAACATCGGAACGTCATATTAATAAGATGAGCAATGTTTGAGTTCTTAATGAAATTTTCCGTAGTCCATACAATTGATTAATTTATGATTGAGGCATGTTTTATCCTTAAAAAAAAAAAATACAAGATTCACCTAAATAAATCACTTTATCCATTAATAAACTATTGCATTAAAAAAATTGAATGTATATTTTTCAATAAAAAACAAATAGCAGTTTGAAAAATTATGTGGATGGAATTTTTAAAAATTTATTAATGAAATTAAAAGATTATTAATTGGTAAATATAAAAAATAAAAAACACATGTTATAGTACAATAATCCGCTTGTGAAATACAAAAATTATAAAAATATATAAAATTAATCCATTTGTTCAAATTACATAAAAAAACATTTCACATATATAAAAATGCATAAGACAAGATCTATTAAAACTAATTAATTTATTTATTTAGTCCATCAAAATCCTGACCCGATTCAACCCACCTGACCAAATGAATTTCCATCATTGCAATTATCAAATTTCCATCGTTGCCAAAAAGTAAAAAAAAAAAAAAACAAAAGAACAAAAAACAAAAAGCAAGAAAGCAAAAGACATTCTGGGCAACCCCGCAGACTCCGGTCACAAGCATAAAGACTGCTTCTCTTTGCATCCTTCTTCTCTACTCTTCTCCTTTTCTATAGCCTGTCTTCTTAGATCCGCGAAACCTTAACCATCAAGAAAAGTTAAAGAAAAAAGCTTTGTCTGCAGTATCTGATTCTTCTTCACCAAAACCAAGAAAAACGAGAACCTAATTCGTTATTATTTATTCTGTGTTTAGAGATCCATCTTTGATTCTTCTCTAGTTTTTTTTCTTTTTTTGAATCCTTGATCCGGTTTCGGAGATGGCGGAAATAGACCATTGTTGCTCGACGCAATTGATCGACGGAGATGGAGGGTTCAATGTGGCTGGACTCGACAACTTCATGCGGACCACTAAACTCTCTAACTGTGGCCTCTCTTATGCCGTCGTTGCTATCATGGGCCCCCAGAGTAGCGGTGCTTTGCGTTTCGATTCGTTTAGACTAGAGCTTTACTTCGTTTTGTTTCTTTGACCTGCACGCCAATTTTTATTTCGTTGAAGTTGCTCGGATTAGTTATCATTGTAATTCTAGTAAAAGATTCAAAATTTGTGCAACACTTATTTTATTTCAATTTTGACCTACTTGAATACTTCATTTATGCGAGCAACTCGAGTTTCTATACTGGATTCTCTTATGTTAATACTAAAATGTGACTGAATTTTTAGTGAAGTTGATTGATTGTGTTTAGTTGAATTCGGCTTTTGTGCATAATTATTATCTCTGTGGGTGAATCTTTGCATTCAAACTTTTCTAACCGTGCTTTTCTCACGATCTCTAATGTAAACACTGAGCATGTCTGTGAAGTTTAGCGGATTTTGGAAGAGAAATTGCATGCTAATATATTGAATATTAGTGATTACCATTTATCCTTCCATTATAATTTTTTATACGTAACTGTTAGATTCTTTCAGTTTTCTCCCTAAGTTCTGTTTCATTGGTAATCCCGTTAGATTAATAACGCCTGTTGTAATATTTTCTGAGGCACATGGAATATAGGGATGGCATCCTACATCTTTAGATCTTTCGCTCTCTATACAACTTATTGCTCATAAGGGTGTATGTCTTATAGACTAAAAGGCTTTGTCTTCTCTTGATAGGGAAGAGCACCCTGTTAAATCATCTTTTCCATACAAATTTTAGGGAGATGGATGCGTACAGAGGAAGGTGTGTTCTTTTATCTGTCAACTTTTATGGTTTCAAAAGAAATAAATATTTACACTTATCTTATTGCTCTGTTATGTACTCTTTCTGCTTTTATTTTCTCTATCATATGATAGATATGTAAATTGATCTAATTTGATTGCAGGAGTCAAACTACCAAGGGTATTTGGATTGCACACTGTGTCGGCATAGAGCCTTTCACAGTTGCCATGGATTTGGAAGGTACTGATGGAAGAGAAAGAGGCGAGGTAACTAGCCTTTTTTAAAATATTTTTGCTTGTTGAAGATAAAAGTATTTGTATCAATGAAGCAGGCTTTATAGTGGTTTCATTTTGAAGGGGAAGGCTCTATCAGTAAGAACACAGCTTGAATCAAATTGATTGAGTTCAATGTCCTCAGAATTTGTTTTATTTTGGCATGATATGGTCATATAAGCATGTACTGGCTAGGGCATTAACTGAATGTATATCTCAAATCCTATTTGCCGTACCTCGCCTTATTCCCTCAGCCAACCTACCAACACACACAAACACAAAGACTGAAATGGAAGCATTTAGGTGTTTTGATTTTGTAAAGGACACCTTAATTTATATATGACTACATAAAAAATGCCAATTAATTAATTATTTCAACTGCAGTTTTGTTCATTTATGTTCCATTAGTTACATTTCTTTGTCACTATTTGTACACTGATTTTTTTTTTTTTTATTTTATTTTCAGGATGACACTACATTTGAGAAACAAAGTGCCCTTTTTGCCTTGGCCATTGCAGATATTGTGCTAATAAACATGTAATTATCTAAATAGATGCTTTAATGGCTTGTGCATTTGATTGTTACTTGCATTAGGTTGGAGCTTACAGGGCTCAAGCTATGTAATCTGTAGAAATCTTGGCAATGAACCGGCATTAGACTTTCTAGAGAATGACTGGGTAAAAGAATTAAGGGTCTGTTGTCTCAAAAGTGAAATTTGCTGCTTATGTTTCTGGATTTTATAGAACACTACTTAACCTATCATTATGTCTTTTCTTTGTATTTTGTTTTGGATTTATTGGTATTTTATAGCCTTCAGTTGATATAGAACGCTACTTAACCTATCATTATGTCTTTTCTTTGTATTTTGTTTTGGATTTGTTGGTGTTTTATAGCCTTCAGTTGATGAACATCACCTGCACATTTTTAAACTTTCACCAAGAATGTGTGAAGCAAGATTTAAAGTTCTCAATATCTTGCATGTATGCAAACATCAATTGATTGGCCTGACCAGGTTGTCCAAATTCTAGCAGTAGAAGGAATGCCTATCTATATGGCAGGATGAGTTGCCTCCATTGCTCTTTTGGGCTCTGGTGGTGGTATTCTTTTTTCATTTCTTGTTTTGATCACAAATAAATCCTGAATTAGAAATAAATAATGTTATAACATGTTAGTTTAAGTTTATCTTTAGGAGAATCTGGAATATAGCTCCAATTGTAAATTTGATCCATTGAAATAGATCATAGTTCTTTTCTCATCATTGTTTTTATCCATTTCTTTTATATCCTTTTGGTGCTTTTCAATGGTCTTGTGTGGGTTTGGCTTTTATGGCATCTGATTTTTTTTTTTAAAGGATGCAAGAAATAAATTTAGGTATTAATCAGATATTAGATATTGATATAGGTGGTGTCATGATATTGGTCGGGAGCACGCTGCCAACAAACCACTTCTGAAAACAGTTTTTCAGGTACTCTAGTGTGTACCTAATTCTTTTGTCCCCTGGATTTCTGCTTTGTTTATTGTGCTTAATAGTCTTGTTGCTATTCATAATCTAGGTTATGACACGATTATTTAGCCCCCGGAAAACAACACTGCTGTTTGTTATACGTGATAAGACAAAGGTATGGATTAATGCCTTTTCATTTTCTTCTAAACTAATTTGTGATACTTTCTGGCTTTATGCTAAAACCTTTGAGATATACTTTTTAATTTTTTTTTATGACTGTTTTTGTAGACCCCACTTGAATATTTGGAGCCTATCCTTAGGGAAGATATTCAAAAGGTAACATTATGTATAGATTTCTCTATTTTCTTCCTTTCTTCCTTTCTTCCTCGCTCTCTCTCACTCTCTGTCTGTCTATCTTTTATTAAAATTTCAATTGGTGAGGATTACTGCAGATATGGAATGCAGTTAGTAAACCTGAGTCCCATAAAGATACACCCCTCAGTGAATTCTTTAATGTAAGAAGATGTCCTTTTTCCTTTTTGCTTGTCACTTTTGTATTTTACTTGCATATTACTACATAGTTATAAGCATTATTTCACATTTGAACTTTGACATGAAGGTGGAGGTCACTGCTTTATCAAGCTTTGAAGAAAAAGAGGAGCAGTTCAAAGAGCAGGTAGTCTTTCACTCTCTTGTTAATGAAGTTTTATCTTGCTTCAAATTATTTTCTATAATTGACTTTCAG